CTGCTTTGAAGATATGTTTTCCCGTGTGGGCAGGAAAAGAGCACCAATTTCTTTTGTGCCGTACTTGTTTAACAGAAGCAAATGACTTTATTGTTTTCTTTCCCTGGAGGCATTTGCAAAATGGACTGGAAAAAAGAATCACTTTAGTTTCATCCCACATCTAGATCAAAGGGACAATGACTGGTATCAGAATGGAAGAGAACATTCCCAAGAAGCTGCTTTTCTATCAAGCCAGTTCATCGGTCTATTGCAGGGGTAGGCAACCCTTCCCCTTTAAGAGCCAAGGGACTTCAGCTCCCAGAATCCCAGGAGCTATTGGCCAACATGGGACTATTGGCCAACATGGCTGAGGCTTCTGGGAGCTGAAGTCCCTCGGCCCTTTAAGGGGAAAGGTTGCCTACCCCTGGTCTATTGTCTACCTACCGAGATGCCCTCACTGAATGGCAGCTGTTCTCCTGGAAAGCTTACAGACAGAAAACTCCTTGCCCTAACATTCCAAACATGTTAGGTGGTGTTCATGATTGCAGTTACAAATCACAGTCCTTACACATTTATGATTGCGGCAATAGTATAAGAAATATGTAAAAGTCTCCACAATCCTGCCTTTCCAGGCAAGAGCTGCTGTGAGTGATGGAGATCTGTTTTCCTGTTCATCAGGATACAGCAGTCTGACATTTCCACTCCTTACTGAGAGAAACCTCTGGTGCGAGGAGGAATTTATACATAGACTCATAGAGTTGGAAGAGATGCCAAGGGCCATCCAGTCCAGTACACAATACAATCTAATACACAATGAAAGCACTCCTGACAGATAGCCTCTGTTGGGAACCTCTGTCGGGAATTACAAGGAAAGAATCCTGCTTCTGATTGTCACACTGGAGATTATTCATGAGAGGGGTGTGGAGACATCAGCCTACTGTGTCCTGGCCGACAGGAGAACAGGCCATTGTAGCTTGCAGCTTCTGCTGTAAGCTTATCTCACAGTGTTCTCATAACGTACTGGGTACATAATGTGAATGGAACGGAAGGTATTTTATCGCACGTTATGATCCTTGTTGAGTTCCCGTTCCATGCTTTGACAGTCCCTAGCCTGTTCCAGCAGGAGAACTATAAAAATGCGTCTTCAGCCAACAAGAACGCTTTCAGGCCGTTCCAGATGATGTGTGCACGATAATCCTACCTGGTCTCGATCTGTCCTCGTGTTCTGATTGGCTAAGACAACCTCCTCCCCACCTGTCCTAGGACGTCCACAAACTCAACTCAACTTTTCCAGTGTTGATGCAAGGAAGGAGCCACAGGTAATTTAATTTTTTTTTAATTTTTGTAGATTGAATTGCATTGTGTTTATGAAAAAAACAAACAAACAATGAATGCTTGCTACCTAAACCTCTCGGTAGCATTCTTTCCAATGCAGACATAGGGGTTTTCGCAACAGTGAGCAATGAAGGATGGCTGAGGAACTACTTTAGCGCTGGTACTGGGACAACAGTAAATGCAGTGCGATAATATGTGTTCTCATAACGTTACTATCATGTTATCAATAGTCTAATGTGGTAACACCCGTTCCCATATCGTTACGTTCCAGGGACTCAGTGGGAATGTTACAGGTACTTGTGCGATAAGCTTACCAGTAACAAAGGAATGGGGGAAGGTTAGGCCAGAAGATGCTGCTTAGTGAATTATACTCCATGAAATAGCTCATCTGGAATTTCAGATGTCATGCATAGTGTTGTAATAGAGCCAGGGCATGCAGGGTCAAAGTCCTGGGACCTTTTTAATTAGCAGGGGTTATGAGGTAGCCTATTTCACAGATGCAAACTGGGACCATGTGGCTGAGCAACAGAATGTAGCCAAAAGGATATGGTGAGGCAGAAAAGGGGCATGAGTTATTAATAAAAAAGAAAACACAAAACTACTATTTGAAGCAGAGAAAACCCTGGAATTTATGTATTGAATTTAGGAAAGACTGAGCGTACTGAAAATGCCAAGACTCTAACCTCTCAGTTCCACCTGCTGAGTTAACTACTTTGCACTTTGAATTCAATTTGAAGCAACTGAAATAAAACAAGGACAAAGGCTGAAAGTGGGAGAAGAGGAGGGAAACAGATATTTTAAAAGCAGTTGAGAGGATTTACTGTGGCTGTTCCTAGGACAGTTGGAGGGTATGCTATGACATCTACCAGTTACTTTGGACTCCTCTGTTCTCTGTGAGTTTAGCTGAAATTTGCACAGAAACCAGAGTGGGAAAGGATTTTCCCATCTCAGCCCCAAATTCATATAAAGAGACTGGCCTCATTCCGAGTAGGTAGGAGAGAGCCTGTGTGGTGGAGTGGTTTAAGTACTGGACTATGACTCTGGAGACCAAGGTTCAAATTCTGGCTCTGCCATGCAAATCCACTGGATGATTTTGGGTGAATCATGCTCTCTCAGGTTCAGGGCAAAGCAATGGCAAACCTCCTCTGAACAAATCTTGCCAAGAAAACTCCATGATATGTTGCCTTAGGGTTGCCATAATTGGAAATGACTTGAAGGCACGCAACAACAACAGCAATGCAAGAATGAATAATTCCACCTCGACATTAGGAAGAACTTCCTAACAGTAAGAGCTGATTGACAGAGGAATATGTTGCCTCTGAGTGTGGTTGAGTCTTCTTCTTTGGAGATGTTTAAAAAGAGTCTGGATGGCTGTCTGTCAGGGTGCCTTGATTGTGTGTTCCTGCATGGCAGAATGGGGTTTGATTGGATGGTCCTTAGGGTCTCTTCCAACTCTGTGATTCTATTAATTACTGTAGTTTTCTTGGTACTGCTGGAGATAATGAATTTTTCTCCAGAGTATCCTCTTCCTGTAATTCTGCAGAGGAATACACATGGCTTTTTGTGAAAAAAATGTTTTCTGCACAGAAAAAGTATTTCCTGCAGAGGAAAGAATGGTCAAGATCCTACATCACAGTCTGTGCTTTTTAACTTTGTGAATCTTTAACTATGTTGTACAAACTGAACAAAACTCTTTTAGTGAATTGTAAATATACACATTCGGGCATTGGCAAGAGTACTGCATTTCACATCAGGTACTTCCGATGTGCACTGAGCACTTCTTCTGTGTACTAGGAATTTCTGAGGCATACCAGGCACTCCTGTCGTGGTCTGACTGATGTTTGGATGCGCATGGCACACTGGCAATGGTGCAGCAGCCACTCCATCATTGCAGAATGGTTGCTCATATGTTGCAATGTCATGGCATCTCCTAGCAAAATTATTCTGCTTTGGACACACATAGGGCCATTTACAAAGTCATAAGTCCCAAGTAGAATGCCAGCCATTGTTTTCCGCTCAGGAAATCAATGTTTTGTGTTTGGTTTTTGTTTTGATGAAGGAAAGCTAGATCATTTTTCCATGGAATAATGTATCTGAAACACTCTGGGACATTCAGATACTGGGGGAAACTATGGAAAAATCTCTCTGCTTTGATATTCTCTCTGATGGATGACCTGGAGACAAATAATTATGCCCATTCTTTCCATTGCTATCTGTCTGTCTGTAAATATACTGTATATAATGTATATACCTACCCATATTTTATTCATAATGGATGGAAAAAAGCTGGATGTGTAGATCCTTCCATCTGCTGTCTCCTACCATGGGGACTTGTGCATTCCCTATTTGCTAATTTCTTTTTATTAGAAAAGTCAAAACCTCGATTTAACCCAGATGTTGGCTTCCCTCCTCCTGTTCTTGGTGGTTACACTCCAGACTTGGCAATGCAATGACTTTATCTTACAGGGGTGAAGCAGGGTGAGGGGGTGGGATGTGATACTTTTAGAAGCTTCAAAGAAAGGCTTGATTCACTGATGGGAACAAGGTGCTCCAGTGTTGAAAGGAAACTGCTCAGGGTTGCAAATACATTGCTATAAACACAAAACAACTTTTAAAAAGTTCCTCTTAAGTAGAAGCAAAACAAAAACAAAAACCCTAACAACAACACACGCAAATTCAAAGGAGCTTTTTCAAGGGTGCATTTTGGGTTCTCAATGGTGTTTTGATGCCGTTTCAGGAGAAGGAGTCACATAAACAGGTGATTAGATTTCTAGGTAGCAATACAAAAGAGAGTTGTCTGATCAGGGAGGGAGCAAAAGTAAACAGGTCCAATTACAGTGATGTGGCAGCTGACTGCTCCTCTTTCTTTTTTTAACTGCCTCCTCATCTCCTCTGGAAGGACAAGCCATTTCCTGACTGGGAACTGAATGTTTATCTGCACTGAGAAGAATGCAGACCTGTTGGCGGTCCAGACTAGCATCCTGTTGGTGTCTTACACAGGATTAAGTTATATTATGCATGCAGAGTGTTTTGACTGGACATTGTACCATAGCCCTCTCCAGATAGTGGGGACAGAAACAGAGGTCCATATGTCAAACAAGCACTGATATGCATCTGGAAGGATGTACATGATCTCTAGTTTGGGTTGTTAGATCTCAAGGTCTGGCCTGGAGTCTCTAGTCTTCATGGGTCATCTCCAGGCTGCAGACAAAAGTACAAATTCTCCAGTTTTGGCCAGGCAAGAGGAAAGGACTGTGTGCAAATCTCCACCTTACCTCACCAGCTTGCCAATTTGCAAGCCTTAATTCATTTGTTGCTGCAACTTGCAAAGACTTCTCAGGGGGTCTTTGTATTTACAATTTACATCTTTATCTGCAATGGGACCTCTGCACATCCTGACTTGATTCGATTTATATCTCACTTTCTTCCAATGTGGGAATTAAGGCAGCTTACAAAAATGCTAAAACAAGAAAAGTCAAAAGCCATATAATAAAAAAGTCAAAGCATAATCAAAGTTGTTATCTTAAAAAGCATAACATTGTTTAAAACCATAATGTTTGTTTGAAAAGAATAATCTTTGCCTGCAGGTAAAAGGAGAGCAGAGAAGGGGCCAGTTAAGGTCCCGAGGAAGGAAAGTCCAAGGACTGGAAGCAGCCACTGATGGTGTATCCACACTGCAGAATTAAAGCAGTTTGACACCATTCTAACTGTCATGACTCTATCTTATAAAATCCTGGGATTTGTACTTGGGTGAGGTATTCAGTCTGGTATGTCAGAGAGCTCTGGTGTGTCATCAAACCACAAAGTGGTTTCATACTTCTTTAATTTGGATATATCCCAAGAAGGCTCTCACCTGTGTCCACACCAGACAGGCCTGTGATGGTGGTGGGACTGAGGAGTTTATTGCACTCACTTTTGTTAACTATCCCGGAATGGGCTGGGGATGCGCCTGAACATGCGTGACTAAGGGAAAATGGATTTTATCACACTTGAAACAGTTGACAAAATATCCCCATTCTGTTACTCAACCACAACTCATCCCTGAACAATGCTGAGTTGATTGATTTTGCTCATCTGGAAAGCTTCCATCCTTGCAAAATTGGCCATCTTGGTGTGGCTCAGGGATGGGTTGTGGTTGAACGACAGCATGGGGATGGCTTGCCGACTATTTTGAGAGTGATAAAATCCATTTTTCCTTGGCCATGTGTGTCCCCAGCTCATGCCTGGATCATTAACAAAAGTGAGTGCAATAAACTCTCGAGAGAAAGCCATCCCTTAAGCATCTTAAGACTTGAGTAGGTTCATATCGAGCAAGTTGCTGTTTCAGAATATCTAGATTTCTACATCCTTCAACATTTTACAGCTGAAACTCAGGACACACATGGCCAGGTAACATCAGGCTATGGTCAACATGACAGAAGCTATTAATGAGGAGGAACTCACGGAGAAGTTGCAGCAGTTTGCTTTTGCCTGAGCCTTCTAACAAAATTCTTCCCCTATTTCTCCTCTCCCCATTGCTGAGTTAATAGAATGCAAACTGCTTTTGCACATAACTCAGTGTATAGCCATTAAAATATGCTGAAGGCAAAAGAGGAGGAGGAGAGAGAAACTGGGACATTTAACAAGCAGCTGAAAAAGCAGGAAAGGGAGGATTAATGGGGACTGGCCCTTTAATTCTTTGCACTTTGAATTGCGCATGGAAACAATTCACTTTGAATTGTGCACTTTGAATTGTGC